GTTAGACTTATTGACTAGACTACAGTAGATATCACACTTCTATGTTATCAATATCAATTCAGGGATTACGTAGGCTACATTTAGCTATCAATTATAGAGTCCCTTAAGGACGTGCCACCTACAATTCTACTTGTTTAGGGTGTAACCGTTTAGACATATTTCGTGGGTGCCGCGACCTCCCTTTTATGGTAGTGCGCCTACTTTTATTGTAGAGTCAATAGGACTATAAAGCCAGGTCGAAGACGCTACTCGTCTTCGACCTCAGCACATTCGATCACCTGAACCATCAACCCGACAACCCCGTCCCCCCCGACCGTGCTCACCGTCCGTAGCGGTTCTGAGGCAATAGCCTGCCGCTCCTCCCTCTCCCATTCAGGTAACCCTATTTACCACCCCTCTTCCCCTTTACTAAAATCCCCTCCGGACCGCCCCCTTTCGGCCAGTGGAACGTTACTTGGGGCGATTCGGAGGCCAATAATCTGACGATCTTTCATTGTTGCCTCGAAATGGCAACAAGGCCCACGCATGTAGCCAATTATATGACCGTGAAAAGAAATGCATGGCTGGACGTTCGCAAGTATCTTTCTATCATTGCTGCCAATCCACAATTCGTCGAAAGCATATTCCTCATCACCCTATCACATCACCCCACTCCAAAACAGCCTGTCCCCCCAAAATCCCGATCACCCTATCCCGACTCATAGCCTCGCATGCATCTCCCCTCCTTCCTCCCCGCCCCGAGATCGGCAACCCAACGCCGCAATGCCCGACTCCACCCCAGCCCTCGTCCCACCCCTCTCCCCGCCTCTCATCCGCACTCTCCGCTTCTCCGCCGCCTTCCCGCCCCCCACTGCCTCCGCCCTAGCGCCCTCCCTCCGCCGCATCGCCTCCGCCCTTCTCGCCGTGCAAGCGCAGGACCCCGACGCGGCGCTCCTCTCCTTCTGGCTTCGTCTCCCCTCCCCGCGCCCCCCGCGCGCCGTCCTCGCCCCGCTGCTCCTCTCCGGCTCGTCGCCGGCCGGCCTCTCGCGCGTGTGGGCGAACCGCATAACCCTGCAAGTCGTCACCACGCGCGACCGCGCCTCCCTGTCCCCCGCGGTGCTGTCGCAGCTTCGCAAGGGCACCCTCTCGTCCGTGCGCCGGCTGCGGCTCGCCGCCGCGGCCGAGCGCGTCCTCGGCTCCGTCGACGCTTCCATGGGCGTGTGGCTCGCGCAGGGCCGCCGCGTGACCTCGCAGGACGTGGACGCGCGCGTGGAAGAGGAACTGGATCGCGAGCGCCGCGAGGCCCGCGCGGAGGAGAGGAGTTGCTTCAGCGCAGAGGCGGTGGGGGACGCGCGGCGCGTGCTCAGGTACTCGCTGTTCGTGCTGGCGACGGCCGACGGGCGCGCCGAGCGCGTCATGACGCCGGGCGACGGGAGACGCATCGTCGTGCAGAAGAGCGAGGGGGTACGTGAAAGAATGGTGGGCATGGAAGAGGGGACGAGGGAGTGCGTGAAGCGCTACTTTGAGGGGTACGGCCCCGCGACGGAGGCGGATGTGAGGTACTGGCTCGGCGTGCCGGCGGCGCAGAGCAAGCAGGCGGTGGAGGGGCTGGTGGAGGACGGGGAGCTGCGGCGGGTGCAGACGGAGATGGGGGAGATGCTGGTGCGGAAGGGGTGCCGCGTTGAGAGGAGGGAGGAGGGGGTGCGGTTGGTGGGGCGGTTCGAGCCGGTGTTGCTGGCCCATAAGGATAAAAAGTGGGTGGTGGACGAGGGTGTCAGACGGAGGGTATGGAGTAGGAACGCGGATGTGGTGGCGTGCGTGCTGGTGGGCGGCAGGGTGAAGGGCGTGTGGAAGAAGGAGGCCGGTGGGATCAGGGTTAGGCTGTTTGAGGGGGGTGTTGAGGAGTGGGTCGGGGAGGTGTTTGGGAAGGCGAGGGAGATATTGGAGGGGTTTTACGGAGTTGACGGGACGGTCGAGGTGAGAGTTGAAAGGGAGGGCGAGGCTGTTTTGATCGAGGAGGGTGGCGCAGGGGAGGTGGCAGGCAGGAAAAGGCGGAGGAGGCGATAGCATGGCAAGCGAGGGGCGAAGAAGTTGCGAGGCTGGTGCTGGTGCTCGCGGTGCATTTTATGAATGGTCAAGGGTACTCTACGTTGCGGGGGGGCGGCTCAATGTTTTCTGCTTTTTTCGAATTTGTCAGCATTTTGGAAGCGTTGATTGGATCCGCACATCGTTCAGTGCCGCAAAACTCCTCACCTGTGTAGCTGGACGAGGTCTCGTTGAGTGTGCTAGATCCAGGAGCGGCAAAGTTACAAACCCATGCGGACGGCAGCTGCAATGGCGGCCTCCTCCACCACGGACTCGTACCGCGCGGCGAACGGCGTGTACTCAAGGCCGTCGGTCTTGGACGGCACGCGCATACCGATGCTATATCTCGGGCTGTTTACCTTGATGATACGCTCCTCGCACTCGACAATCCGGCAGTAGTTCTTCATCATCATCGCCTTCCCAGCGTATCTCACAATATGTCCCTGTGTAGCGCAGCTTCCAAAGGCGTCGCACAGAACGCGGCTGGAGACGTGGCGAGAGTAGACGAGCTCGTGCGTCTGCAGGTGCTGCAAGGCGGCGGCGTCGATGCACTCGGCATCCTTGACTACGTCTTCCAGAACTTCCCTTTCGTCGTCGGAGAGACACACCTTCTCGCCGTTCTCCAACTCGGTGCACTTCTTTTCGCCGAGACAGTCGTCGTCGGACGAGCACGTGAAGTCCATCGAGTCCATCGAGGAAGAACAGGAGCAGATCTCGTCCGACGATTGGCACATCAGCCCACTGCATGTGGTACCGGTTGGGCAGTCACTCCCGGAGCTGCACGTGCCTTGGCGCAGCGCATGGAGCGGGAGCGACGGCGCGGAGAGAGACGCTGTGATGAGGGCGAGGGGCAGGAGGAGGAGGAGGAGGGAGGGAGACATGACGGCGATTATTGTGTGTTTGGGTCGCGGAAGTTTCGGAGTTTTGGGGTCGGGTGGGGTGCTGGAGCGATGACTGATAGTGGCTGGCGATGCGCGGGGTGTGGGGGCGGCCCGTATTTATAAGACTGCGGGCTTCGGGTAGTGTCAAGGTGTAACAGTACAGTAGTGTGAAGGGACTAGCCGACAGTGTCCACAACGTGCGATCTGCTTTTGTTTTTGAGCGACATCGGAGCTTCTGCAGAAATTATTCTACGTGTAGCGTTTACAAGGGGAAGGGGCGTGCGACTGTTACGGAGCCTTACTAATGTGCTACAGACTGTAGTACATTAGTAAGGCAAGGCTCTGTAATCTACAGCACTGTACTGTCGTAGGAATCAGTGGACAGCGCGCGCACACGATCCGCCAGTACGATCTAGCGGGTGGGCTCGTGGGCGCCATGGGTTTTTGGAGAAAGGGGTGATGATCATGGAAAGGGTAAGTAGCGGTAAACGGTAGGGAAAGTAAAAGGGTAAAAAGAGGGGGGGGGGAGCCAATGTCGGAGTCAGCCAAAGTCGGAGTCAGCCAAAAGGGTAGGTTTACTCAAAGAAATATGGGATAGGGCCTTCAGCATTCCATGTCAGCAGGGCAGTCTTTGTTTCTCCTGCTTATGCCAGGAATGCTGGTGCTTTGCGACATGAATACGACACCGCACAGTACACATTCGCAGAATGAACAGTTGATGTGGACAATAGATTGCTTCAGGCTTCACACCTCCCCGTCTGCATGGAGGAGCTGCGATCGTTGTCGCGGATTTCGTCCCAAATTCATAAGCTGCACTCTTTAAACTTCTACCTTAGCTGCCTTCGAGGCGGATCCGATCAAGGCATCGGTGGGTAAATATTCGTCAGCGAATACACGTGTAATGGTTTTGTCCATGGGCTGTACGGACCTGTACTGTAGATGTCGAGAACCTGCTGTAAGGCAGAGCTGCAGTCGTCATTCTTTCTTTATCATCATACAGTCGTCACGAGATTGGTTGTGACCGATTGTACACTTGTGCGTTCACGAGAGGTCAAGGCTTCTTCATCCTCTCCGGCGCGACACCATTCCAACAGGCGCGACAATCCGAGCGCTAGAGAGATGTACTGTACAGGTGCGGGGTGCCAAAAATTGAATAGTCACGCAACACATTACAGTATTACCCCACTGTCCGCATTCCACTCGGTCAACTGATCCAGTACGCAGACAACTGGGTTATGCTGACAGCGAAGGAATCTTTATCCCCGTTCTAAAAATATGGGGTCGCAAAGATTGGAACAAATTTACGGTTCACTCCTACAGTGCCGAAAAAAAGTATAGGGACAGCATCAATACTCACATTGCTGGCATACAGTATTGTAAAGGCCAAATTTGAGGTGCATCTAGAACTGTAAAAGCAACGAGGAGACCGAATCTGGGGTCGGATTTAAAGATCGAGAGCTCATTCACATGATATTTATAGAAACCTTATTTATGGGTGTTCGAAAGTATAAGGTACAGCGCATGTCTTTCACTACTTCATCGCTCCTAGTACTTCGTCGGACCTCCCTTTGCCATTACACACTCAAAGCACCGCTTTTGCATGGAACGGACAAGCTTTTCCAGGCATTCTTATGAAACTTCGTCCCACGCTTCCATTATAACTTCTAAAAGCTCATCCACGTCCTTAAATTGACGTTGGTGTGCATAAACCGTTCGCGCTAGGATGCCCCATAAATTCTCGATAGGATTCAGGTCAGGTGACTTGGCAGGCCACTCTAAGAGAGGAATTTCCTCCTCGTCAAACCACTGAAAAGTACGTCTAGCGCGGTGTATAGATGCACCATCTTGCATAAACACCCAACTCGGACCCATTTCTTGATCCACAAACGGCAAAAGATAGGACTCTAATGTATCTACATACTTAATAGCATCCTGTTTTCCATTTAAAACGGAGAGCTCGCACTTCTTAGTACCAGAAAAAGCGCCCCAAACCATTACAGAATCCCCACCCTGCTGCCGTTTTGAGAACATCCGCTTGTCGATCCGTAAATCGTGTCAATAGTACCCGAACCCATCCGGCCCGTCCAAGTTGAATTTCTTCTCGTCCGACCACACCACATTCATCCAATCCGACACCGTCCAAGTGACCTTTTCGCGACACCACTGCTCCGGTGCAATTTTGTGTCTCGGGAGCATCATCGGAGCGGGGACCATTTTGCTGTACTGAATCGTTGGCGTGGCGCGTAGGATACCTCGCACAGTAGATGGAGTTACAGAAAGACTAAGGGTCTTAACTAACTCTGAAGAACACAAATGCCTTTTGTGCGCTTGGCGCAAGAGAGCACGTCGAGCCGTGGAGGTGAGTTTGGAGGGCCTACCGGGCCTTCTCTTCTTCCCATACAGGCCCGGGTTCCTTAAAAACGTGGCCACGACGCTACGGGAGCGCGAGAGATGCGCTGCAATTCGCCTAATTGTCCAATTGTTGAGACGAAGAGCCTGTATCTGCCCTTGTTCATGCTGGCTCAGATGCGTACCGCGACGCATTTTTTGCTGTGTCGAAGTGAGCTACCGCATTTTTTGCGCTTTGGCCTTCCTTTTGTATGCGTCTAGTCTCTTTTACCAGTCTTTTCGCGGGAGATACTGCATTGTGTAGAGCGGGGTTTTAAAGAAACTGCTGTGTACCTTATACTTTCGAACACCCATAAATAAGGTTTCTATAAATATCATGTGAATGAGCTCTCAATCTTTAAATCCGACCCCAGATTCGGTCTCCTCGTTGCTTTTACAGTTCTAGACGCACCTCAAATTTGGCCTTTACAATACTGTATGCCAGCAATGTGAGTATTGATGCTGTCCCTATACTTTTTTTCGGCACTGTAGAGCACCAGTAGAAAACCAGATCGCCGCCGGAAACCGCGCAATAGCCCTTTTTAACTAAGGGAAAATCGTGCTTATTTTTGAAATAGGACAAGAAGTGAGCCTGAGTGCTGTTTAATTACCCCGACAAAAATGTTAGAATTCCAGCTTGTTTCAAAACAGTGGAACAAAAAAGACGGGGCTCCATCAAGCTCTGACAAAAAGCTTAGCTTATTTTCCATCGCCTTCCGTCAGCACCCTTCCCAGACATTGTTCCCAACTTCCCCCTCACACGTCCAGCCCGCCCTTCTCCTCCCGCCTCAGCCGCTCCGCCATCCGCTCCACGCCGCCCAAAAACCTCTTCACCACAACTTCCCTCTCCCTCCACCTCTCCAACCTACCGAGCATCTGCCACGCGAGCTCCGCTGGCCTTTTTGCGACGACCGCCGCCGCCCTTTCCGCCGCGGCGCCCACCCTCTCTATGCTCTCGCCCATCTCCACGACGCTCTCGGCCCCCCGGTACCCGGCCTTGGAGAACCTTGGCGCGGCCGCCAGAAACCGCCGCACATAACCCACGTACCGGCGCACGGACCGCCCGCCCACGCTTCGTCCCACCCGCGTCTCCAGCCACCGGTATTCGCACACCACCGCGAACAACTCGCGCGTCCGCCCGGCTAGCGCCAGGTGCCACGTCAGCTCGCGGCCCCGGTTGCCCCCGTCCGCGCACTCCGCGTCCGGCGCCGCCGCCGCCGCCCACTACGCCCGCTTCTCGCTGCGCCCCGCTCCCGCCCCAAGCGGCGCGTGGTACCCGTCCACCACGCGCGCTTGCACGGCCTGCGGGAAGCCCCCAGCGACGCTGCGCGGCCGTAGCCGCCGCGGACGGGACTTGTGCGCCCAGCCGGAAGCCGCCGTCGCGCTGCTCCAGCAACCCCATCCGGTCCAACGTCTCCCTGATCCGTGCGCTCGCCTCCGTCGCCACACCCCACAGGCACCCCAGCGTGACGGCCGGCACGGCTGCTGCGGCGGCCACAGCTGCTGCGGCCGGCACCGACGCCAGCGTCGCGAGCAGGCTGTAGTGCAATACCCGGCCTGGGAAAGGGACATCAGGGGGGTACTGTAGTCCGGATTGGGGGACTTCAGTGTGATTCATTTTACACTATATTTTAATTATTTAATTTAGTTTAGTTACAAATTAATTATCTAACATTAGATTAGATTTAGGATCTAGCGCCGAGAGCTACTGTACTGTACGACTCGGGCGGGGCGATATATACCTTAGCCCTCTGATTCACGAGTCAGTAAAGGTAACCCGAGTTGCCAGAGTTTGATATGCCTTGGTCGAAGTCCGTCTTTTACAAGACATTCCCTTTAACTACATATTACTTTATCCTTTGCGCTCGGGGGTCCCCTTTTTCCTTATCAATTTTCCTTTACTTCCTTATCCTAATTTCCCTTAATCTTGAGTTGGTCCCACCTTGTAGGATTGCGATCCGCAACGTGACGTCATTAGCCATCGGGCTTCTGTGTTGGTGCACCAGTGGTGCTTTTCTCAGCGTTGGTTCCATCGGAATCTGGTTGCCACTGATCCGGTGTTGGTACTTTGCCATCGGGCAGTACGACGGTGTAGCGCTGTTACGTTTTCTTCTTTCCCGACGGGCTACGTTGCGACGTCCCCGTCGAAGACCTTAGCAAGGGTATAAGGTGTACAAGGCGCTCTTCGAGCATTGGATTTACGACCCATCCGAACAGGTTTACCTAGACACCCCTCCGAACTCGTCGAGCAGTTGCCTTTACAAGTCTCTACCACCATTTACCGATCCCGGGCTGGGCCCTTCTCTTTGCCCCCCCCCCCCCCCTATCAGGGATCCGAGCTACTGCGCGCCGCAAACCCGCTTGAAGAGGACAGGGAGCTTCGAACACTCCGTAGCGCTGTGCCGTTGGCAGTTGTTGTTTTTGTTGTTGTTGTTTGTGTTGGACCGTCGGACCTTGATCTCTGCCTGACAGGCGCATTGCACTACAAAAGTGGTCTCCCGACCTAGAATTCGTTCTGTCTACGACAAGGAAGTAGTCTGGGTACGGAGTCTCTTTTTTATTTTTTTTGTTCATATCTTTTTTTTAGGTTCGTTCGCTACGCCGAACGATGTCAACAAGCGCACCCGGGGACGTCGGTCCCGGGGCGAGCGGGAGCGGATCGGCACGGGCGTCGAGGATCCCGAGGGGTCCTCGCACCCGGAGCCAGGCCAATACGGCCACGGATCCCGGAGATCAAGAATCCCCTACGGGGATTGCCGTCGACAAGAATGACCTCGACGAGAAGTTCGAGAAGATGGGCAGCGAAATTCGCCGAGAGAATAAGAAAATTCTCGAGGATGAAATAGCCCTATTGCAAAAGCAACTTGAGTTGCAAAATTCCGAGTTCCACACGGCGTTGGAAGAGCTGACCGCGCGCGTGGGACTCGTCGAGAAAAAAATGGCTACGGGACCGACGGCATCGAGCCGGAGGTCCTCGCTTCATTGAAGCTTTCGGTGAAAGACGCGAGGCGCGACACGAATCAGGCCTTGGAGTCCTTAGGAAAATTTAGAACAAGCATCGATGACCGATTCGATCGCGCCGCGCAACGTCTCAAGGACCTTGAGCAGGCCGCGGATCAAGCTTCGCAAGGTTCGGACAACGAGCCGCTCCCTTCGGGTACAGAGGGCGACCGTCGGTCGAAGAAGGACAAGCCCGGTCGTCACCGGAGCTCCAAGTCGAAGCCCTCGAAGAAGGACAAGCGGCGTACAAGCAAGGGTCGCTGTAGTGACGATCCGAAGGACCGCCACTCACAGTCGGAGTCGCTTGGTCCCTCCAAAGATGGTGACGGCGGTTCGTCGAACCATTCGGGCGATTCCGAACGCCGTTCAGAAGAAGGAAACGGAATTTCGTCAAGCAAGAAAATTTCCTCCAGACGAGGCGGAGTCACCTCGTCCGCCTCGCGGAGAGACAAGGACGCGAAGCCTGAAGATGTCGCAACGCGGCGCGGGCCGCGATGAGAGGAGTTGGAGGAGCTGAATCCGACCAACTACCTCTTCAAGAAATTACTTTCGTACCGAACGTACCGCTTGCGGAACCCGCAGACATATTTGTCAAGTTTCCGGCGGACCGACGTGCGAAAAATCAGGAGAGATATTCCGGCTAAGGTGAAGAAGGACAACACGTTCACAGGTGAGGACGGGGTCCTTGTGTTGGATTTTTTGCAAAGTTAGTTTAGGAGTTTGATACTCAAGAAATGAACGAGGGGCAAGCGATCCGCTTGTTGGCCGAATTTCTAAGCGGCATCGCCTTGAGACAGTACACTTCTGTGTCTCAGACGGCCGGGTCCCATCATGGAAAGGTGTCCGTTTGGCCAGAGGCCGTACAGTGGTTGTTGAGGAGTTTCGCAACCGACGAGGCGATCCGTCAAGCCGTGCTCGCATTGCGAGAAGTTCAGCAGAGACCGTCTGAAGACGAGATGGAATTTTACATTCGCCTAACAGACGCGAGTAATCGCTGTGGGAATGTTTATTCTATGGAGGAGCAGATGACCACGTTCATCGAGGGCTAGATGCCACTATTAAGCCCATGGTCTCGCAGAATTGACAAGATAACCGAGATGTCTCATTTTTGAGATTGGTAAATTACGCAAAGGCGCATGGCTCGGCGGGCCGCGCCAAGGACAAGAAGACTAAGAAGGTCACGATTCAGACGCCGTCGACGTTCAGGGCGGGGAAGAAGCCGAGGGCTTCTTATCCCGGTCGTAAAGGTCACGCCGCCGTCCACTTAGCCGAGTCAATCTTCGCGTCAGATGAACGCGGTGCGCACGGAAGTAGCGAAAATCACTATGAAGGAGCATTGGTAGCCGAAGGCAATTTTATTGAGCCGTCGGAGGGCTACGGACACGAGGACTACGGGGCAAGCGGGTCGTCAACTTTACCGACGCCTACATAGACGACGGGGTCGTTTTCAGAGCCCACGGATCCCGTGATGATGTTCCGGGGGCGCGGCCACACGCCGGCTCCGGGCATTCCGATGGAAGACAAGTGTACAACGTTTCGAAGGCCAGGCTGGATGGGAAGGCCGCAACATCAAGGAAGGCCGCCGGCCCGTGGAGAACCTAGGCCGCAATATCCCGTCAAGAAGCACGGACTGGTGTGCTATCACTGTTACGAAAACGGGCACGCTGCGCCAACGTGCATTCTTCCCCTCCACGGAAAACTGCCTTACTCCTCTCGCTCCGACTTTCCTTGCTTGCGGACCCCTTTGTTTCGAATTTCTGACTCCTCCTTGTTCCCTAACCTGCTAATTCTATTGACGATGACTATCCCGCTTGCACGTGCGCGACTTGCGGCGGCAAGGGTAACTTCTTCCTTCGGAAATACGTGACGGCCGCACTGCGGGTTAATTGCTCAATGGGCTCCCACGTCGCGTCCTCGGGCGTATAACCGTACCATTCCACCTTGAGAATCGAATTATCATTTTGATAATCGTGGTCGACGACCCGGTCGATTACGTATTTCGTGTTTTCCGTTTCCTCTCCTTTCTCTAAACTGTTTCCTTCCCCCTTCTGAAGATCTTCCAACTCATCCTCTTCTCTGGACTTTCCGAACTCACGTAGGTCTGGAGGTGTCTCCGCTGTCGGCGTTTGACTAACTAAACTATCCTGGTCCCCTGA